TCCGGAGGCCACTGAGATCCCCTGCTGGGGTGAGCTGTCTAGGGCGGGAGTAGCTATCTTTGACCTTGACATTGATGCTATTCTTGCTGCCATGTATGCTGTGACTATTAGTGATGAAGGTGACTGTTACCGGTGTTTCCCGCCCGACCCGGGCATTAAGACTACTGCTCTAGGTACTGGTGAGGCTGCTGCTCTAGGTGCTAGCGAGGCTGCTGCTCTAGGTGCTAGCAAGGCTGCTGCTCTAAGTGCTAGTGCATCTGCGCTCTTAGGTACCGAGCCGGCTTCGGCCTCCCTCACCTTCACCCTTGACTCGGGGGCTTCTCGCTCCTTCTTTCGAGACCGCACCACACTCACGTCGCTTGGTCGGCCAATTGTAGTCTCTCTGGCAGACCCCTCTGGGGGTCCTGACCTTGCTCACTTCTCAGCTGTACTCCCGTGTCCGCGGCTCCCTCTTGCGCCCTGTGTGATCTTTACCTCCCCTCGTTCTCTACGAACTTCGTGAGTGGTGCTGACCGATAGGATGGGGGAGTTCACCGGTTCACTCCTGCGAGCCAGCGGGTGACCCACTGCACGGACGCTCGGACAGGCTGACACTTGGCCACGTTTACTCGTCGGCCGGGGTCAAGCCTGTACACACTGACCACAGCGTCTCCTCCTATCCCTGCGTCTGGTCAGGTAGCTGCGTCGGGTCAGGTTTTTGCTGCAGCGTCCAAGTCTGGTCCTAAGTCTGCCCCCTGCTTGTGTCGCCTCCTGTCTCACGAGACTCTCCTCTGGCACCACCGCCTTGGTCACCCCTCCCTGCTTCGTCTCCGAGGCATGGCCTCCCGTGTCCTTGTCTTTGGTCTTCCCCGGTCCCTCCCTCCCCTTCCTCCGGGGCCTGCCCCTACCTTCATCCCCTGTGTCGACGGACGGCAGCGGGCTGCCCCTCACTCCTCCCAGTTTCCTCTGACAGAGGCCCCGCTGTAGACGCTTCACATGGACGTGTGGGGCCCCGCCCTCGTCCTTGGACTGGGTCACGAGCGCTACTTCCTGCTGGTAGTTGACGACTACTCGCGTTACACCATAGTCTTCCCCTTGCGCAGCAAGGGTGATGTCATTGAGGTGCTGATCGACTGGATCCGCGCAGCTCGTCTCTAGCTTAGGCAGAGCTTTGGCTCGGACTTTCCTGTTCTGCGTCTGCACTCGGACAGAGGCGGAGAGTTCTCCTCTGGCCTTCTGCGAGCCTACTGTCGTGCACGAGGCATACGCCAGACCTTCACGCTTACGGACTCTCCACAGCAAAATGGGATTGCTGAGCGCCGCATTGGCATGGTCATGGACGTCGCTCGTACGTCCATGATGCATGCGGCTGCCCCCCATTTTCTGTGGCCGTTTGCGGTTCGGTACGCGGCGCATCAGATCAACCTTCACCCCAGGGTCTCCATGCGGGAGACCTCCTCAGCTTTGCTGTGGATGGGGAAGGTTGGCGATGCGTCTGCGTTCCGTGTCTGGGGATCTCGGGCGTTTGTCCGCGACTTGTCTACGGACAAGCTGTCCCCTCGTGCGGCTCCTTGCGTCTTCCTTGGCTTACCCCCTGACGCGCCAGGGTGGCAGTTTTACGACCCCACCTCTCGCCGTGTTCTGTCCTCCCAGGACGTCACGTTTGACGAGTCGGTCCCCTACTACCGCCTCTTCCCCTACCGCACTCCGTCCCTCCCCCCGCCGCCGCTCTTCCTCGTACCAGGTCCCCCCCCGGTAGACCCGCTTTCCCCTCAGGGTCCAGCCCTTTCCGGCTTGTCCCACGTAGACGCAGTCGAGCCTGTCGAGGTCACTGGTGACTCTGGTGCTGCTGAAGGTGCTGAGCCTGGGGGTGCTGACTCTGAGGGTGCTGAGCATATGGGTGCTACGCCTGGGGGTGCTGAGACTGGGGGTGCTGAGACTGGGGGTGCTGAGACTGGGGGTAATGAGACTAGGGGAGCTGAGCCTGGGGGTGTGGAGCCTGAGGGGGCTGGGCTTGCTCGTGTGGCGTATGGCGATGCTGGGCCTGGAGGTTCTCCGGGTGCTTCCTCTCGGCGGGAGCCACTCTCTCAACAAGAGCTGCGCGAGTGGTTTGCCCGGCGCTGAAGGCGTGCTGTTGGAGGTGGAGGGTCTTCGGCAACTGAGGGTGCTGGTGCCGCGGGTCCCGGAGGTGCTCGTACTGGAGGTACTGGAGCTGCTGGGCCGGCGGGTGCGACCGGAGCTTGAGCTGCTGAGGGTGTTGGTGCTGAGGCTACTGCTGTCGGTCCTGGAGGCGGTGCTACTGTAGGTGCTACGGGTGCTGCTGGAGGTACTCGAGCTAGAGGTGCTGCTGGCGCTGGTGCGGCCGCTGGGGGTGCTGGTGCTGTCCCTGCTGTGTCTGGAGTCGCTGAGCGGCCTCGGCCATACTTCGTTCCGCTCCTTCAGCAGGTTCTTGGTCTACCGCCTTCTACTGGTCCTCCTCCTCCCTTAGAGTGTCTATAGCCTGTCCCGTCACAGTTACAGTTACCGCCGGCCTCCCCACTGCCTGCTCCCTCTCCCTACACTGGTCCTATTGGAGGTCTTGCTGAGCGTCGTGAGCCTGCGTCTCGCCCTACGTCGCCCGTCCGTCCTGCTAGCACTAGTGGTCGCAGTTTGCGTCAGCATCTTCCTCCTATCCCTGGCATGCACCGGATGTCTCTGCGTCTGTCCACTGCTCCTCTGCGTGCCCCTTTGCCTTCTCCTCTTGAGTCCTCTCTTCCTGCTCTTGCTGACCCGGAGTCGGACTCTCTTCGTGCTGCCAGTCCTACTGTCACGCATCTCCTTGCTACTGTTGTCACTGACCCTTCTTTTGAGTCCACTACTGCGTCTGCCCTCGTTGCTGAGCTCGTTGACTTTGCTGCTCGCTGTCGTCTAGACTACGCCGCTAGTCTTGTCGCTAAGTCTGAGTCTGTCTCTACTCCGTCTGTCGGGGGTGAGTGTGCGCTTGGCACGGACGTCCTTGAGGACAGGCAGGAGGAGTTCCAGTGACCAGGTGAAGAAATCTTTTCCATCGAAAGGTCTTGACGTCTGCATCTTCAGAACATGTGCGAACTGCGACTGAACTTGCAGTGCATCCAGTTGTCTTTCTTGTCCAGGTGACGGCTGTGGTTGTGGCATGAAGGTGATGGATCCGCGCTCGTACGGAGCAAAGGTAGGCTGTTGTTGCTGGTTTCCCCGTGCATATGATGAGCCGTCGAGACTCATGGGTGTTGCTCCGTTGTTGTTGCTGTTGTGTGATTGCGCAGGTCCTCCTTGCTGATGCTGCTCGTAGAAGGACATGAAGGAGAAGAATTTCTCCATCATGCTTGGATCGAAGCCCACGCCTTGGTTTGCGGGTGTTTCAGTAGACCCAGCTGCCGGTCTCGTTGTTGTCCCTTCCTCTGTCTGTAGGCCAGAGGCAGGAGGTGGAGCAGTAGTAGTACCTGGAGAGCCGTTGGAGGAGCTCCTCTCCTTTCTAGTAGACATATCTCTTGGTGTATTGAGTATTGAGGAGAAATGATTTAACTCTAACCTGCTCACATACCATGTTGGGCTGAGTGCCCTTTAGGATCTTTGGTAGAGTTAAATTCTGAGTAAAGTGATGTAGTAGCGGAAGCGTTTTTAAGTAAGGTACTTGAACCACCTTGCGCTCGTATGTGAGGGCAAAGTAAGTTAATTAAAACAAAGAGATACAAGAATATATTTATATATATAAGTACAGAGAATATGAAGAGACATAATCATAACTACTTTACTGTTGCGGTTTGATACAGTGCGACTCGGGCAACTGCTCAGTGTCGAGTCAGTTGTGTGTCCTTGCTGTCGCGCTGTTTTTGTCAGGTCAAAGGTCGCTGACCTTTGACTTTCGCGTAACCTCCAGCGGTTACATCAACCTCCGAGGGTTGACTCGCTGGTGCCTCGATATGTGCTGCTTCGCTTGTGTCTTGGTGTTTCGACACGACAGAGGCGCTTAGGATTATTTGTTCCCAACATACGGCACCAGTTGTGCCCCCCTAGACAAATTTTTTGGCCTCACCTTGCAATACAATCTCAGCACAAGCAACTGTATCACAGTGAGGGCTATGTTAGAGTATCATGTCAGTTTGTTTACACTGAGCGGTAAATACACCGTATTAGGATCCCCCTGGAAAGATAGTCCCACGGGACTCTCCCAAAAAGGTTAAAAGTATGAGGACCCCCCCCCTTTAGGGGGTAATAATTTAAGGAACCCCATTTCTGTTTATTGAGCTGTTCTAGCACATTTTTGTTATGTTCATGCGTCAGAGTATAAGGGATCATTTTCGAATTCTGACAGATCCAACGCGTCAGACTCGAAATCTGACAGATACTGGTATGCATGACACATCCAGCGCGTCAGACAGCAAATTGACACTTCTCTATAGCGTTTGCACTGCAAAAAATCCCCAACAATAAAAGTCCACCCTTCTCACAAAATCATCTATAGGCAGCATAAACTTGCTCCGATAAGGAATAATATATGTCCGTAGGCTCTTAGAAAATCCTGCCGTTGTAATGCCTACCATGATTTTTTTAGGGATTTATAGAAAGCCCCCCGGGTATTATAAGCAAGGAAATACAGTAGTGACATAGCCCCGATTGTCTGAATGATTAGTACGGTATACATTACCAGGACCAGGACGTATGTAACACATGTTGCTTGGGGGTTCATTATCATTTGAGCAAGTCCCTCGTCGCAACAATGTAGATACATGCAGACATGAAACATTTGATGGAAGTATAAATCAGACTCTACTATCGTAGTATACGCAAGCCCGAATTTTGGATTTCAACAGTCACTGGTTACACACCTGGGACACCTGTTGATGCAATACTTTCAAAGCAATGGGTTAAGTTTACACCAGATGTCAAATCATGGCTATTTGCAACGCCATCCTAGAAGAAAACACACCATGCAGCTGCTTTATTAATCACTCAAGAACACACTATTGATGAACTCATATTCGGCTCGGAAATCCTTCAAACTCCTAGGACAAGGAACCGCTGGTCAACGAGCCGCTCTGCATTCCCATGTGCTCCGCACGGGCCAGTTCAGCAGTGAAGCCAGAGGAGCTGCCAACAGAACCCCCACTCTCCATGTCCATGCGAGATATCGCCTTGCTCACATGCACTCCAAACGCCTCCTGCTTGAACCTCACCAGCTCCCCCAGCACTTGATTCATGGTGGGGCGGGAGGCTGCAGGCATGGCGGTGCAGGAGAGGGCAAGGCGAGCCCAGCGCAGCACCAAGTCATCTGGTGCGTCCAGGTAGGGGTCCTTGAACACTGGCCCTGCATTTGACTCCAAGATATTTGCGACCTGTTGTGTTGGAAAGGGAATGCAAGGCATTTGAGTCGACTCATGTATCATCTGGTGGTTCCAAGTTGGGGTCCTTGAACACAGGCCCAGCGTAAATGCAAGGCATCCAATTTATACAGCATTTAATAATGTGTTACCACGCAATTTGAGCAGCCATGGCATTGGAGTTTTGTGGTTGTGCACACTCATAACAAAAGAAACTTACCCACTGCTTGAGGTTGGTTTCGCCAGTCTCGCTCACATGCACCGCCTTGCGAGCCGAGATCACCACCAGCATCACCACACCAAAGCTGCCAACACCAATTTATCAAAAGAGACACATTCAAACGCAGAATCCTCACTTTGAGGCGCCTCAAAAGTTGCACCACAAGGGTTGTGGAAGGAAGAGTGCCAAGAGACATATTCAAACGCAGAATCCTCACTTTGAGGCGCCTCAAAAGTTGGAAAGTGCAAAGGCAGACGTGGTTGTGTTCAGATTTACAAACAAAAAGAGAAAGGGCTGCATTTTTCAACTCACCTGTGCATGTCTGCTGCTGTAGTGGGCTTTTGCGACTCGAAGTAAGCAGGGTCCACATAGCCCGGTGTCCCCATCACTCGAGTGGCAGCCATAGTAGTTCCCCCAGTGAGCTTTAGAAGGCCAAAGTCAGCAATCTTAGCCTGGTTGACAATAACAAGGGCACGATAGAGTGTTGCTGGCAACATGATGACAGATGTAAAGGTGACTTGTGCAAAAACCCTAGACATTTCGTTTCATCAAGGTGTTCCATGGATAAATACTTGCCTGCATTTTCCCATCCAGGAGAATGTTGGCGGGCTTGATGTCGCGATGCACGATGCCGAAGCTGTGGAGGTATTGCAACCCCTTGGCCACTCCAATCAGAATGTCGAGCCGTTGGAACAGCGACAGAGGACGTGCAGTACCTGGAATACGTGGAAGTTGACAGACGGCTTTCAATGCAAGTCATGCTTCCAGGAGTGAGCAATTTTGGCAGGTTAACAAAAAGAAAACGATTGGCATGAGTTTCCTGTTTATGCTAATCTGGCCAAGATTGGCAAAGACATGCACGCTGCAACGGGCGAAGTGTTTGACCAGATTATCCAAGCAATGTCAGCTGATGTTATACTGGATGGAACATTCAAGTAGTGTTCAAGGGTTAAGTGAAGTCACCTGGTCCAATCCAGCTCTCCTGGTCCCGGTTCTCCATGTACTCATACACGAGAAATTGGTTCAATGAAGGGCTGTTGAAGGGAGAAATAACAAATCTAGCAAGTTCATAGGCACGTCAAATTACCTGGTCCGATCCAGCTCTCCAGATCCCAGTTCTCCATGTGCTCATAGACGAGGATTTGCTCCACGTGGCCCGCGCCACTGACAATGCAATACAAATCCGTCAGTTCTCATGGGATTGAAGTTACCTGGTCCGATCCAGCTCTCCAGGTCCCGGTTCTCCATGTACTCATACACGAGGATTTGCTCCACGTGGCTTGTGCCGCGGTCGTATTGCACACAGTAGCCCAACAGGCGCACCAGGTTGGGATGGAACTTGCTGGCCATGGCCTTTACCTTCAAAACGGGAGAGGGGAAAGTAGGAAGAAAGAGACACAGGCGGTTGGCCGTATTGCACACAGTAGCCCAAAGGTGCGCCAGGTTGCTGTGAAAGTATCAACAGTAGCTGTGAGTGCAACAACAGTAGCTGTGAATGCAACAACGGTAGCTTTGCTGCACAAGGACATACAAAGAGCAACACTAAGGATTTCAACTGTTTCAGTAACTTACTTCCGTCTGAAATTCATTTGAGAGAATCCGGGCTCGCTTGACTGCCCAAAACTCATTAAGATCGTAAGGCGACACGCCCTTGTACACATCTCCGAAGCTCCCACTGCCAATGTTGTTCTCCTCTGCCCAATCACCCGTTGCATTGGTCACTTCTCCTAGAGTGAACTTCTGGCATAGAATTGGCTTAGCTTCCTCTGGGTCCTCCACTGCCACTGGGTTGTTATTGTTGCCATAAGGGCCTGCTGCTCCTGCTGCCACAGCCGCCGCTGCTGCTGCTGCTGCCGCTGCTTCTGGGTCTACATGGAATGCTGTCTCAGGTTGAACTGTCGGAACAGTGAAGGTGTGTATGTTGGAAGGGAGGGTAGTGGATGCGGAGCGGGACAGTGGATGTGTGGAAGGTGAACGGAGAAGGGAGAAATAGTCATTGGAGAAGCGGGGGAGGGGATGGGAGGGACAAAGAGGGAGAAGAGAGAAAAAAGGAAGAGTGGGAATTACTAGGACGGTGGGGAAGGAAGAAGGAAGGAGAACTGGGAAACATCCCAGAAACCTGTTGATGCATATCAAAAGCCTTCCTTACCGTATCGTCTCCCTTAATTTATTATCTTTTCTACCTGAACATCTTCCTTTCTTACCTTATTGTCTTCTTACCTTGGTGCGGGATATTTTGTGCTGTATTCATAGGAGCAGACTCATGGGCGCTTCCAAGTGCCGTATCCTTTTGAAATGATTCAAAGGCACGTCTCAGTGCCACATCTTTCTCCCCCAAATCCGTTTTATAACCTCCTGATACTCCTCCTGCTCCTGCTGCTGTGACTGCTGCTGCTCCTGCTTCTATTCCTCCTGCTGCTTCTGCTGTTCCTCCCGCCTTTTTCGTGTGCCTCCGGCACATGAGATACAGCAACGCTACCATCCCCAGCAGCAGGAGGAGGGCCAGCATACCGCCAGCAGCAGCAATGCCAGCTGTAGCGCCTAGAGACAGGCTCACTCCGGACTCGGCCGGATATTCTTCAGGGGGAATGGGGGTCACTGGGGGCACTGTACGTGGGGCAGGGGGGAGGGAAGAGGGGAAGGGAGAGGGAGTGGAGGGGTGGGGGGGAGAAGGAAATGTGGTTCAATTTTGAAGGGGTGGGGAAGTGGAGGAAGGTTCCAATGCACTTCAAGCTCAGAAAGGGATGGGATGTAAAGGGGAGACATAGGCGAGACTGTGGAGAAGAAAGGCAGACCTGACATGATAATCCCATGAGTTTTATCATCATGGTGACTTCACAAACCAAGTTGTCCAGGAAACCAGATCACATAGAGTAGACTGGAAAGGAGAGTCTTGACTCTCACATGGTGCACCACGTGGTTTGTAGCATCACGTGGTTTGTAGCACCACGTGGTCTTGTAGCACCATATGGTTCATATTGTGGGCCAAGTCACAAGTCCCCTTGCAGAACAAGGGGCACGTTTTGAGCCGACTGAAAACTTACCTGATGGAACCATATCAGAGGTGAACCAGAAGGAAGGAACGTTTTTTTTCTTCTTCTTCATTTTCTTTTTCTCCAGTCTTTGAGACACCTCAAAAGTCGGTTTGAGACGGTCCAAAACACACCTGATGGTGGCGCAGTAGAGTTTGGGCCCATGTCACAGGTAAGGCAGAAGGAGGGGCACGTCTGGCAGAAAGCGGTTGAGGATGTCTGTGTGGTCACACAGCTGCTGTCGTCAGGCGGGCAGGTGACTGCTGTTCCATTCATGTTCCTGTACGTGCATATGAAAGAGATGGCATTGGAAATTTGATGTAGCATTGTACCCAGTTTTAGATTGCAATAATCGGCATTCCAAGGATCGGTTGAGGGAGCTATTAGAAGAGGGTGAAGGGGGAAGCGGGTGGGGGGAGGAGGGAATTGGGGGGAAGTTGATGTTTGGAATGGCGTACAAGGTCGCAAGACGGGTAAGGCTGCCGATTGTTGGAGGGAGGTAACCAGTGAGGTTGGTAAGGCTGATGTCACTGCAGTGAAGACAGGCGCGTGCACACATACACACACACGCACAAACAGAGGCACACACGCACGCACGTACGCCCGCACGCACACACACACGCACATACACAGGCACACACACACACATACACACATACACACACACACACACACACACACACACACACACACACACGCACACACACATGCACAACAAGCGATCATTGTTTCTATGCCGGTCTCGAAGTATTCGTTAAAGTCACAATACGACATGAATGTCACATGGCACACATGCAAGATGCGAGTCTGCTAAGTGAATCAAAACTTCTCGGAAAGAACGTGAAGGTATGCAACCACGGCATTGATAGTGTGTTTGAGAACTTACAGTCTTGAGAGATTCACGAGCTTGCTGATTGAGTCTGGAATGGTTCCGGTAAGGCTGTTGTTGTATAGCAATCTGATTGGGTCAAAAGGAAAGACCGTGGTGTTGCACAAAACCAAATTGTGTTTGATTTGTCTTTTGTCGAGTATGTTTGTAAGGAAAAATACAACTCAGATCCCAATTCAGAAGTTGCGGGGTATGACTTGAGAGTTTATATTTTGTCTCATGTATGTAGTGTAGAAATCTGCAAGAAAAAGAGCACTTACATGTATCGTAAGTTGAAAAGATTTCCAATGGAGGCTGGGATGCTCTGTGAGAGAAAGTTCGACCTCACACTCCTACATCCATTATTAGCAACGACCCACAACAAGGAAGAAAGGGAACAAGCCAGAAAAGGGTGTTGTTGATAACAGCTAAGCTTTATATGCAAAGAAAGGTAACATAACAGAACCTCACAACAGGAAGGGAGGGCAACCAGAAGAAATACACCAAACAGGTGAGATTCATCGGCCTGATTAGAATCATGAGCAACGCACTATATTCTATGGAAGCAACTGAATGAAGCCACCATCCAATCTGGAAAAGACAGGAGGTTAGGAAGGCTCTGATGTCACTAACAAGTGAGTGAGGCTGGTCATGCCGCTGATGGTGGATGGAATAGAACCACTCAATGCATTTTCGCCTAGATCCCTGATGTTACGTGCAGAGGTTCCCGGGGTAGATAGAATGAAAGGGGGCACGAAGAGAGAAGAAAGAATAGGGTAAGGAGGTGATAAGGATAGGGATAGAGGCATAAGTGATCCATCCCAATGGCATGAAGGAAACCTGACATGCATGATATTGAAGCCAACTTCAGTTTCTACACTTGTGTAAAAAACAGCATTTCCTTCTAGAGCGAAGAAGAAAATATTGCAGAGGATCATTGAAAACTCTTGAAAGTGAATCCAGAGTCCAGACACACAGTGATAGTGTGGTAAAGGATATGGTAATGCAAAAATGGTCACCAGAAGCACAAGTCTCTGCTATTATGAATGCTGAATTGTCCACATGTAAATATATATATATTTATATATATCAAGGGCATTGTGTAAAACAACATGGTTCGAAGACTCACAGGTAGCGCAAGTCAAGAAGATTGCCAATGCCTGAGGGAATAGAGCCGGTGAGATCGTTTCCATAGAGATCCCTGGAGGCCGATTGTAGGGAAGCAAGTGAGAAGAGAGTAAGGATTGAACACAGAAGTATGCTGAATTTAGTTTGGTTGTAGTCCTGACAATGTGTAGCAGCAAGAGAAGTGGGATCAGAATTACCTAGCTGCATCACGTAAGATTTGGAGATGAATAGAATGCCAGGTGCAGGAATTAATGTTCTAAGATAAGGTGGTGTGCTCAAGTTTACTATTGGGTTCACTCAAAATTCTATCCGAACTAAACTGACTCATACTCACAGGCGGGTTAGGCTCTCCAGGTTGCCGATAGAAGGTGGGATGGATCCCATCAGAAAGTTGTCATGTAAATTTCTGATGGTCGCAAGACGATGAGCACACAAAGACCCGAACAACAACAAGGGATATTCTTCTTGAGAGAGAGAACAGTAAATGCTTGTATGTATGTGCATACCAGATGCGTGAGTGTGTTAGAGTAGGTATGTATGGATGCATATATGTATGGATGCATGTATGTATGTATGTATGTATGTATGTATGTATGTATGTATGTATGTATGTATGTATGTATGTATGTATGTATGTATGTATGTATGTATGTATGTATGTATGTATGTATGTATGTATGTATGTATGTATGTATGTATGTATGTATGTATGTATGTATGTATGTATGTATGTATGCATGCATGCATGCGAAAAAGGGCCAAGCTGTGTCACCTTCTAGATTTATAACGGTGGTATCACATATTATCTTAATATAAGTAGCTGTAGTCTGTTGCTGGTCGTGTAATCATGGTGATACCTAGTAAAGAACATAACTTTTATGCACAAATGGCTGATCCAACTTGTAACTACCAGTCATATTTCCTACGTATGTTACCAACACTGATGCTTATATGGGAACGGTTGTTACTCACAGATGTGCCAGGCTGCTCATGCTATTGATAGTAGAAGGTATGGATCCGGATAAGCCTTGGTCGCCTAGATCCCTGAGGGGAGGCGTGGAGACGGATTAGTTAAGGGAAAACAAATGGTGAAAGAAGGTGAGTATAAGAGAGGCGGAGTGATGAGGAAGATTGGCAGGAGCAACAAGCTTTGGTGAATCACATGCTAGTAACCATGCCTTAGGCACTCACATGCTGGTAACCATACGGTGGGCACTCACATGCTGGTAACCATGCCTTGGGGGGCACTCACATGCTAGTAACCATGCGTTGGGCACTCACGTGCTGGTAACCATGCCTTGGGCACTCACATGCTGGTAACC